GTGCGTGGAGGTATCGGTGCGTGGAGATATCGGAACGTGGAGATATCGGTGCGTGGAGATATCGGTGCGTGGAGATATCGGTACGTGGAGGTATCGGTACATAGAGATATCGGTACGTGCAGATATCAGTACGTAAAGATGTCAGTACGTGGAGATATAAGTACGTGATCAGTGCATGAGGATATCCATAGGCAGGGATATCTGTATCTAGAGACAGCAATATGTACATATATCAATATATAAGACTATTAAAATCTTTGAATACTGAAGTCCAACTATATCGTAATGTATGGACATTTCCATTAATGTGTCTCGGGGTGTAGAATTATTGGGATCCAGTAATATGTCGTGCACCGGAGACACAAATATAAAGGAATGCAGCTACAATTCCACACTCGAATAATTTAATATTAGTCGGTATTTTAAATTAGTCCAACCAGTTGATCTACAGTTCCAGCTACTTATACACGCCACAACAACCTATTAAACATGTTCCATCCAGAAATATTAAAATTTACAATTCTAAAAAACTTGATCAAAGAAAACACGAAGCTGAATAATAACATGTATTCGGTTCGCAGAAGGAAAAAAAGAAACGAAATGATTGAGATATTGTTTGAAATAGCAGTCGCGAAATGATATATAGCGTAGCTTGCTAATGGACAAGATTTATTGATGCGTGTATGCACGCACTATATCGAGTGGAACACGGTGCAGCAGAAACACCTATAAGTGGGCGATTACCGTTCTCCCCGATGGCTCTCACAAAGTGGTAACACGCCAGGCGCCAAGTAACGGCAGTAGTCAACATCAACAATACAATCCCGCGAACCCACTGGACCATGTTAATGCACCTATATTACAATCAATTTCATGCTACCGTGTGCGTACGCGCACGTGTGTGTTGCCTCCGACAAGTCGAGATCTCGTCATTAACAGAAAGCTGTACCGCTAAAAACAAGCGTATCCGCATTCGTTGTCAGTGACGATTCGTTCCGAACATTCAATTTTTGACGTTGAACTTTATCCTTGGATACTTACGTTGCCACCTGCCGGTACGTATTCGTCACTTCACTTGAATTTGTACCTTATCTATTAGATCACTGATATTAGGACTCAGTTACATTTGTAATTTTTCAACGAAATTCTAATTTTTAGTATTAATTTCATATTCAGATATAATATGTGGTAATAGCAGTTGGAAGTATTCATACATCATAGTGTAATAATTGAGGAATGTTCGAATTTAGAAATAGAGGAACACTAGGAGTGGGAGATATAGAGATATGTGGGGACGATATGTAGGTATTGGGGTTTAGGGATATTGGGACGTAGGGATATCGGTGTGGGGAAATATCGGTGCGTGGAGGTATCCGCGCGTAGAGATATCGGTGCGTGGAGATATTGGAACGTAGAGATATCGGTGCGTGGAGATATCGGTGCGGGGAAATATCGGTGCGTGGAGGTATCAATGCGTGGAGGTATCGGTGCGTAGAGATATCGGTACGTAGAGATATCAGTGCGTGGAGATATCGGTGCGTGGAGATATCGAAACATAGACATATCGATGCGTGGAAATATCAGTGCGTGGAGGTATCGGTGCGTGGAGATATCGGAACGTAGAGATATCGGTGCGTGGAGATATCGGAACGTAGAGATATCGGTGCGTGGAGGTATTCCCGCGTAGAGATATCGGTGCGTGGAGATATCGAAACGCAGAGATATCGGTACGTGGAGATATCGGAACGTAGAAATATTGGTGCATGAAGATATCGGAACGTAGAGATATCGGAACGTAGAGATATCGATACGTGGGGATGTCGATACGTGGTATCTGTAATACAACTTACCGGGCCAGTTACACAGTACATTCATAATAGTATGTTATTCTATAATAATTCTGATATACCATATTTCCTGTTGAAATTATTGTAGGATTATTTAATATACAATTATTGTAGGATCATTTAATACACAATTATTATAGGATTATTTAATATATAATTATTAATAGGTTCTTTGTGAGAAATTTATTCAGTACATATGATAAAAAATACACTATTACAAATTCGAACGTTTCAAGAAAAGAAAATAGGTATCGAGAAACGATTACCCTACAATCGGTAAACTTATACGGTATCGCAATAATATATCAGCCACACCTGCTACCATACCAGTCGCCAATGTCGTCCACGCTTCGATAATATCGATACGAAGCACGCCACGAGAAGCAAGTGATAGTATCGAGCCGTGTGTATGCAAATTCCAAAGTGTGTGTTGTCCTGGACTCTCGATTTTAGCGGCAACTGTACCCGCGGGCCATCTAAGAACGTCCACGCGGAGAAGGACGAACGGCCAAAGACGTGGACGAGCATTGGCGTAACAGGACCCACATGAAACCTCCAAAATGTGGATTAAACTCCTATCAGGAATTATAAGAATTATTATAATACCGAATATGATAGGTTTTTTTGAAGGAAGAACATGTTGTGGAAGAACACATGTGTTGTGGTTTGGTTAAAATTTGAGAAGTGGAGGATCAGGAGAAAGTTTGAAATTCAGAAATGTGATAAGGTAAAAATTTATAAATTGGAGTGTTCCAAATTAGGAGAAAATTTAGGAAATTCAGTGTTAGTTAATTTTAAGAATTTATAGAATTTGGAGAAATGAACTTTGTGGACTATGTAGAATTTGTTGAAATTGTGGACTTTGTGGAATTTGTGGAATTGCAGAATTTGTAGAATTTGTTCAATTCATAAAATTTGTAGAATTTGTACTATTCATAAAATTTGTAGAATTTGTATAATCTTTGCACTTCATGAAATTAATACAATAGGGGAACTTAAAAGACATAAGGACATGTGGAATTGAAAAATGTAGGGACTTTGAACATGACATATTTGAAGATATGTAAAATGAATTTGTACATGAAATTGTCTAAACATTTCTGAGTTTGCAATTGAGAGATTTGGAAGTATCAGAATTTCCATTTAAGAACTAGTAAAAAATTAGAAACGTATTCAAAGTGAATACGAACATTAAGTTTGGCAGACTGACGAGCTACCGACGAAAGAAAAACCGTGCAACGTGGGCGAAATCACTAAACTGTGAATACGCCTACACGCGTGTCTGGACCCACGCGTTTTCAAGCGCAGTAGCCGCACACCAGTCCTGTCGGGAACACAGGACTAAATTCAGGATCTTTCTGTCGATTCGCGAAACTCGAGACTGCGAGATTGGAGGACAGATTACGAGACGTAAACGCCTTGGCTCAAAACTGCTGTTCATAAATTTTTATTATAAATGATACTACAAGTGAACCATTATAATTTATAAATGATACCAGAAGTTGAACCATTTAAAAAATGTTGAATAAAACGTTTTAATTAAGAACAAACGTAAAGGTCTAATCCTTGAATCATTACTTGTATAATTTTATACTTTGAAGAGTATATTTCCTATCAAAAAAATTTTTAACGAATTTCATATCTTGAGAATGAAGAAATAAAAAGGAAATATATAACAGTTGTTCGCAGAAAATAGAACGGTAGTTGATTACATGGGAACAGTATTCGAGCATCGATCTAACGTTAATCTCTCACCCACACCCGACAATCTCGGTCCATTTAAATTCAACGATCAAAAGGATTTCGTGGGTTTCACCAATAGAAATTAGGAGCGACTAACACCGACGAGCGGCCCACTTTTCAAAAGTGTACGCTGGAATGACCGATACATCATCCGACGGAGATAGAAGAAGAAAAAGGGGGAGAAAAAGAGAAGAAAAGGAACGCGGACAACAGAGGACGAAGACGAGATCGGCTGAAGGACGAAAAGGAGAAGGAAAGGGAGACAGGCAGCAATAACTAAGTCAGCTCCAAATTCGGTAGCCGAAAATTAAACCGAGAAGGGTTTCTCGGTTATGTCTAGACCTAGACCCTCCGGTCAAATCGTAGCAAATTATACCGTCGGCTCCATCCGCATATTTTACCAACCATAAATATTAATCCACCACGGTATGCCTCTTCGTCTTCCCGTTTGCTGTGTCCTCGTGGATGGTAGGGTGGCGATATAACGAGAGCGTCGCTTCGATAAATTAGTAGATGGAAGTTTTTCAATTTTTGAATTTTAAAATTTGGGAAGATGTAAAATGGGGATTTTTATTGTAAGGTTTTGTGAATTTAGATTTTTGGGTTCTTAAGTTTAGGAATTTTAAAATTGCTAAAGTTTTAAATTTCATGCATCAGGATTTAAAATCTTTTAATATGAACTCTTCAGTTTGTATGGGCTTCTGTGCAAGTCTCTAAATTTTATAAATTCTGACATTTCCAACTCTTCAAGTTTCCAACTCTTCAAGTTTCCAACTCCCCAAATTACCAACTCCTCAAATTCCAACTCCTCAAATTTCCAACTTCTCAAACTTCCAACTCCCCAAATTTCCAACTCTTCAAGTATCCGACTCCCCAAATTTCCAACTCTTCAAGTTTCCAAATCCCCAAATTTCCAACTCTTCAAGTTTCCAACTCCCCAAATTTCCAACTGCCCAAATTTCCAACTCTCCAAATTTCCAACTCTTCAAGTTTCCAACTCCCCAAATTTCCAACTCTTCAAGTTTCCAACTCTCCAAATTTCCAACTCTCCAAATTTCCAGTTCCCCAAATTTCCAACTCCTCAAATTGCCATCTTCTCAAATTTCCAACTCCCCAAATTACCAACTCCCCAAATTACCAACTCTCCAAATTTCCAACTCCTCAAATTTCCAACTCTTCAAGTTTCCAAATTCCCAAATTTCCCACTCCCCAAATTTCCAACTCTTCAAGTTTCCAACTCCTCAAATTTCCAACTCTTCAAGTTTCCAACTCCCCAAATTACCAACTCCCCAAATTTCCAACTCCCCAAACTTCCAATTTCTAAATCTCCAAATTCTCTAAATTTCCAAATCCCAAAATTCTCCGTATCCCAAAATTCCTCAAATTTCCAGCTCCCCTAATTTCCAACGTCTCAGATTTCCAACTCCCCCGATTTCCATTGCCCCAAATTTCAAAATCCCCAAATTCCCCACCCCCCTTAAATTCCCCAAATTTCCCAAATTTTCAGATCTCCTAATACCGACCCCCATATCTTTTCCAAATTCCTAAATCTACACTGAATAAAATTGTAAAAAATTTATCATAAAATATCTGATTAGGCGACTCGACGTATCGCTTCCATCGCGATCGACTATTATCGATTCGCGGACAGGAATAATATGAGCGGTGCCTTTGTTCGATTTAGTTGATAGATCGAGTTACTCTAGTCCTCGAAAGAGCGATTATCAAAACATCGGTTCATTGTCTTAGACGGATAATCGCCGATTAAGCTTAATTAATAGGATGCGTTCGATGTTTATTCTCTGGACAAATAGATGCAATGAACAGCCGTTATCGAATTGCTCCGATTGTTTAACATGACACAGACTAATGACACGTTTTTCTAACGATCGTTCTTAACTTACTTTAATAGCAATCTAATACTTTTTGCAATGAATATCTTGCGTTCTAATCACTCATCCGAGTGCGTGTAGATCGATGATAAACATGATCACGGTACAGTTGTTTATCACTGGGTAATGTATGACGCATATGATGCGTTGTGCATCGATACATCATAATCTATCAAGCAGTTAAAAAGACGAAAAAATATAGCGATCGGTCCAGCATTCCGAGGAAATGAGTAGGTAAGTATGCAATACGATGGAATTCTACCTGGCGTATCCCTCGAATTAGTTGACCAATTAAAAATTCATCTTCCGCCTGGAGAACCGATAGAGCGGAATAATTATCATCCGTGGTAAAATAAAAACACGGGGAACGAGATACCTGAGCATCAAGCTAATCGAACTCCGATAGAACTAGCTGCATTACCGGCCAAAGATCTTGATTAAAATATCACTATCTGCGGACTAGAATTTTCGAACTTTATTCCCGCTACATTACCCCGTACAAAATTGATGTTATCGACAGATAATTTCGATCAAATTGTTTCCACCCCTCACGATGTAATTACGAATTATAAAGCAATATCGGAAACGATCGGTTTAATTAGGAAAATTATAGACGAATTTGCTTTCGATAACGAGAGTCAAATTAATTAGAACTTTCTTTTTAATTTTCAGGGCTTAGACAGCAGCGGGAGACCGGCATTCGTACTGTACTTTCGTGTTCGGTATTACATCGACACGCCATTATTATTAAGGTAAGATTTATATTTTAATATTTTACTGTTCATTTATTTTTCATTTATTTATTATTTTAGTATTCTTGAAAATAGTCAGTCAAAAATTTCTAATCTTCCTGGATCGATCTCTTTTCCCTCGTCACCTAATTCAAAGTTTTTCGAAATCGTCGAAAAACAAACAATCGATCGAATCGGCGATCGGAATCGTAAGGGCGAATAAAAACTCCGGTAGTCGGATCGACCCCACCGGCTGACAAATTATTCACTCGAGAGAGGCTGGCCTCTCTCGTAGGAAGCTAAATTAGTCGAGGACGCTCCGAGCATCGGACAGGCCCCCAAATGGATTGCAGAATTAATCGGAGTAATTAGCGTTCCGCTTCAAATACTCCCCTGTTGCCACCGTACCTGGCCAAACTGCCAAACCTGCGTAGCCTACCGTCCCTCCCTTTTGTCCCTTTTTCCTAGCTGCGGTGTATCGCGATTATAAGGGTTCCAGCCTTTGCCTTGGGCAGATCGACGGACAGAAGGAACGAGACGGACACTCGGAGAAAGAGAAACCGAAAGATCTTTTGATAGTCTCCCATTTCATGAGCGTCGAGGTGCTACAGGGTATAGCGATTTTGGGGACATGGAGATTTGGGGATATGTGAAATTTGGGGACATGGATATTTGGGGATATGTGGAATTCAGGGATATGTGGAATTCGGGGGTATGTGGGATTCGGGAACATGTGGAATTTGGGACATGGAGAATTCGGGGATATGTGGAATTCGGGGGCATGTGGGATTCGGGGACATGTGGAATTTGGGGACATGGAGAATTCGGGGATATGTGGAATTCGGGGGCATGTGGGATTCGGGGACATGTGGAATTTGGGGACATGGAGAATTCGGGGATATGTGGAATTCGGGGGTATGTGGAATTCGGGGATATGTGGGATTCGAGGGTATGTGGGACTCGGGGACATGTGGAATTCAGGGAGATGGAAAATTCGGGAATATGTGGAATTCGGGGATATGTGGGATTCGGAGACATGTGGAATTCGAGGACATGTGAAATTCGGGGATATGTGGAATTCGGGGGTATGTGGAATTCGGGGATATGTGGGATTCGGGGATATGTGGAATTCGAGGACATGTGAAATTCGGGGATATGTGGAATTGGGGGATATATGGAATTCGAGGGTATGTAGGACTCGGGGACATGTGGAATTCAGGAACATGTGGAATTTGGGGCATAGAGAATTCGGGGACATGGAGAATTCGAGGACATGTGGAATTTGGGGGCATGGGAAGCTAGAAAATTTGGAACCTTGACTCACCATAGAAATCTAAAAAATTTGAAAGTTCCTTATTCCCCTTTTCCAATGCCCATAATCCTCGAAGAAAGATAAAGACTATAAGCTTGTAGATTAAAGAATGACAAGCGAAAGAAGAAGCAAAGGGTGGATGTCCGTCACGAAACGAAATCCTGACTCCCGTCCGGTAGCTAAATGCTACCCACTCTTGTAATTATAAATTATTACGTGGCGCGTGATAGATAGACCGTACGCATTAAATGAAAGCACTCGTCCCGGTAATTATACCAATCCGTAGTTGCTTTCTGATTTCCACCCGAAACCCGTGATTTACATCGTCCCTCACCGACATTCACCGCACGTCCACCTCGACGAGGGTTTAATTCGCTAAAGGACCAGTATTGTCAGTCTCAACCGCAAATCTTACCAAAACGTTTCTGAATTTTGCTCGATCCTTTTCTGCTTCTGGCCTTCATTAATTTCGAACGTTATAGCTCGCGGCCGTTTCTCGATCGACTTACAGAATCGCTGCATTTTTTATCTTATGTGAGTTCGGGATTGACAGTGTAGTAATACCAGAGTACATTATACATGTGTGTATATACTGGCATGTGTATGTACTGGTATGTGCTCGTAGGCATTGAGGAATGTGGAAGTAAGGGATATGAAGGTGTATGAGGTTTGGGGATATAGAGAAGGTAGAGATGTGGATATAGGGGAATTTGATGATGTGGTGAGTAGTTTGAAGATGTAGGGAGATCTAGGAGATATTTGGGAGTACAGAGATTTATGAGTTTAGGTACCTCAGAATATAGAAATTTTGGGATGTACTGATTTGGGGATCTAGGTATATAAGGATATAGGTATTTGGTGATCTAGGAGTCTTGTGATGTAGGGATTAGATGATGTAGAGTTGGTATATCGGGACGTAGAGGTATCAGAACACTAAAGATATGTGAATACTGGGATATAGAGATGTTAGGATGTGAGTATGTGGAAATGTAGGGATGCTGGAGTGTAGGGATGCAGTAGATTCAATGGTAGTTGCATCTAATGATATCTAAGGATGTTAGGATATAAGAGCTTTGATATGTAGGAATATTGGGACCTATGGGTATTGAGTTCTAAGAGTGATGGGAATCTATGGGTATTGGCACATAGAAATACTGGTATATAGGTCTAGGAGTATTGGTATCTTGGAATATTGTTGTCTAAGGGTTGTCTGATGTGTAGCTATAGTGAGACATAGGTGTCCAGCAATATCGGTCTCCATGAACATTGGTATCTACAGATATTGTGACCTAAAATTATTGGTATCTAAAAATATTGCGACCTAAGGGTACTCCTATCTATAGATATTAAACTCCAGATATATTCAAGTCTATGTATAAATCTTAAGATCCAGAAAATAGATCTTATAGAAGATAGAGTTATAGAAGTCTAGAAATACATTTCTCAGCAATTCCAATAATTTACATTCCTCCATATTTTCCTCCATTTTTATTCCGCCGTAGACCTTCGACAAAACGATACTTTTTGTTAGAGAATAATAATGAGGATGACTTGAATTTTGCATCACATTATCCATAGAAGCGAATAGCGCAGTATTATTACGCTGTTACATCGCCATTTAGTTTATCGACGAAGTCGTACCGGAATTAGCGTTCTATTTGCGGAAGTACGCAACGGACCTTCTTTCGACGGTAATTCAACGTAATGCCATGCAACAGTTAGGTTTTTTTTTCTTTTTAAACAAACTGTTATTATGGAATATAACGTGCGTTATATCGGTTCGATACTAGCGTTTTCCGGTTCACCGTGAATAGCGGCTTTCGAAATACTATAATTCGATGTTTACGCAGAGACATTACGTGCTATTACGTTTATTAACTAATAGTTGGTTGGTATCTAATGATACCGCCATTTCGAGGATCACAGAGTACAGAAGCATTTTATGCACTTTTATTTACTTATTTATTTATTTATTTATTTAGTAGATGTGTTAAGGTTTTTCACTACTTTCTTGCTGTACTATTTGGACATTTTACTGTACAACTTTCTCTGTCACTATTCTCATATTCTATTACTATACTATTTTACTATTTTACTTAACCACTGTATTATTCTTATATTTTATTGTTTCAGTAATTAATTTTTTCAGTATACTTTTATATGACTGTCCCATTGTTTCACTGTATAAGTTTACTATTCTACTGCAATTTTAATATTTTACTATTTTATTACTTTACTCTTGTACTATATTGTAACACTCTTACACTGCTACACTGCTATACTGTCATACTACCAACTTTTTTAATATTATATAATTTTATTATTACTTTACTCTTGTACTATATTGTAACACTCTTACACTGCTACACTGCTATACTGTCATACTTGTAATTTTTTTAATATTATATAATTTTATTATTACTTCAGTCTTGCACTATATTGTGACACTCTTAGACTGCTGCACTGCTATACTGTCATATTTCTAATTTTTTTAATATTATATATTTTTATTATTACTTCAGTCTTGCACTATATTGTGACACTCTTAGACTGCTACACTACGATACTGTTATACTACTAACTTTTTTAATATTATATAATTTTATTATTACTTCAATCTTGCATTATATTGTAACACTCTTACACTGCTACACTGCTATACTGTCATACTTGTAATTTTTTTAATATTATATAATTTTATTATTACTTCAGTCTTGCACTATATTGTGACACTCTTAGACTGCTACACTACTACTGCCATACTACTAATTGTTTTAATATTATATAATTTTATTATACTATCATATGTCTAATTCTTCATTATTCCTCAACAACTTCATTATTCCTCAAGTTCCCTATTTCAGTATTTTCTACCCGACTACTTTTGTAATTGTCTTCACTATTCTTATTATAGTAAACTCTTACACGTCTACTTCGATCGTTTCATTATTCTTTAACTTCACCTTTTTACTATCATCTCCGCGACAACTTCTGCAGTCACTGTCATTATACTAAATAGGTATACTATTCTACTACATCATTATTCTTTAACTTCCCTTCATCTACAATTCTGCAGTTGACTTCACTGTCATTACACTAAACTGGTATCATTTATTTTATCACGCTACTAAACATTTGATACTCAATCACGAAAATAACACTTGTCAGTCATTTCATAGAGTTCTTATTCAAATGAAAGACCCTGCATAATTAATATCTGCGAGATACGCTTCTCACGGTTAGTCTTACCCATCGGTGAATGGTTTAGAAATGTTTCTGACACGCTCGTTCGAGATAATGAATCGTAGCATGACTGGTGAATAATTAAAATCCGGTGTTTCCATACTGATGAATTTTTTTCCGCTACCAAATCCAGCGAGTCAGACCTCGATCCTTTGTTGCTTCTACAAATCGTGCTTTCGCGAATAAATTCCTTCTGCACCGATCACAAGAGACGTCTTGTGAAATTCGTATGCTGTTATATAACGTGTGTATACGCGCGATCACGTGGGAGTGTTATGCTATTTACATTTCTATCCTTCCAGTTTCAGCTATTCCAATACCGATCTCTTCTGGTGTCCCGAGATTTGAAAGTGCTGCCACATTTTATTGTTAATCTACTCGCTTTCTAAGCTACGTCTGTCTCTTTTCTCGACTGTAATTTCTAGGATTACCATTTTTGGCTGGCAAGCATGTCAAGTGACATTTGACTCGAAAGTTTAGCGTCGGTTATTCTTAGATCTCCGTTTAGATTTCAGGATTTTTGTTTAGAACTGAGATAAGGCGCAGTTACTGAATTCATGAATAATGCAGGTCACTCATTTGTCAATTTATCGATTATCAGTTGCACTGTAATTCATTTACAACGTTGTCCATTATAATATACTTCAATCACATCGTTGCTTTCAATGTACGTACCTCGTTTGATTGAATTATGATGTGGTTCGTAATTGCAATCGAACAATCACTGTCAATTATGATACAATTTATCTGAATAGAAATAAATGTACTTCAACTACACTCATGATTAAAATAATCAGCAATTGAATGAATTGAAAGACTCTGTAAATAGGCTGACTATTCTATGAAGGTTGTATAAATATAGATATATGAAAAAATTAATGAGCTACTACTTTATGACAGAGTTCATACAGTCATATGTTACATGTTCTTTATACATTGATCATTTCAATAATTTTGCCAATATGAAGAGAATGAAGTGTGATGAGAATGTTAATTGATTTCAGCGATGAGACGACCCGTCACCACTATTACCTGCAATTGCGGGACAACGTGGTCAGGCATGGGGGTGGGGTGGAAAGCCTCCATCCTCACCATCCCCTACACGAGCCATCTATCGTTACGCCCCTGCTCACACTCGCGGGTCTTGCCCTACAAGCCGACCTTGGGGATTACTCCGAAGAACGGCATAGGCCACACGCAGGATCTGTGGGATACTGTAAACCCACGGATTACCTTCCACCTCACGTAAGTATTTCATTCACATCTTACACTAGAAACATTAAATCCTACGCATCAAGCCACTGGTAGCCCACAATGTTCATCGAGATCATAGTTTTAAAGTAATTAAATTATCAAACTTAATTTTTCAACAACCCCTTTGTAACTCAAAAATTTCCAAGTCCTCAGGTTCACAAATTCCCAAAATTACCAACTCCATAAATTTCTAAAATGATACATGCTATGATAGAAACTCAGCTAAGTAATCCAAATAATTTACGCGATTGTTAAAAGAAAAAAAACCACCTCCTTTCGCCTTGAAATATCCGAGGCAATAGATCAAAACGTATTACCGATCAACGAACTCATTTCGAGCCACCGATCCTTCAATTACATATCAAGCTGAGCGTATTCGTTTCGCTGCCCGAACATAAATCTTCGATCCCGATACTAAGGTTTCTGCTCGTTTTTCTAAGATTCACCTTCTGGAATGTAGACCTATTCCCGCTCCTCTGACGTCTCGATCGTAAAACCGGGTTCTCCCCTATGGGGCGACGTGGTTTAATTCCTCGCATAAGCGGGACCACGTTAAGGGTCCTCGGGGGATATAGAGATCTGGGCATATACAAATTTTTAGATGTGCAGATCGATTAGATACGGTAGCTAGGGATTCAAAGATGTAGGGAAAGGAAAGGGGTTGGTTCCATAAGTCTGGGAATATGATTTCGGTGAAATTAGTTCAGCAAAAGCAGGTATATTAAACGTAATCAATGATGTTTAGATGTGCCTCGAGTCAAATGTGCTCGGCGTGCTGGCGGCTCAGCATAGAGACAACCGGGGCCTGTCAAGGGAGGAGGCAGAATTGCAATACATTCGGGAGGCGGTGCTGCTGGAGGCGCCGCTCAACGCTCACCTCTATCGGTTACGAAGAAGCAAGAACGAGGCTGGCCCGGGACGCATACTCCTCGCGATATGTGCTCGCGGAGTGCGAGTTTACGCCGAGGAGGAGACACCGAGGGTTTTTGCCTGGAACAACATCGGCAAACTCTGCTTCGACGTTAGTTTATACCACATACATTCATTTTATCATAAATACCATATACAGGGCCTTTCAAAAATCAGAGCTGATGCTCAAATTGATAATCGTAACTTAACGTTAGTTAGAATTAAATTATCAAACTTAATTTTTCAACAACCCCTTTGTAACTCAAAAATTTCCAAGTCCTCAGGTTCACAAATTCCCAAAATTACCAACTCCATAAATTTCTAAAATGATACATGCTATGATAGAAACTCAGCTAAGTAATCCAAATAATTTACGCGATTGTTAAAAGAAAAAAAACCACCTCCTTTCGCCTTGAAATATCCGAGGCAATAGATCAAAACGTATTACCGATCAACGAACTCATTTCGAGCCACCGATCCTTCAATTACATATCAAGCTGAGCGTATTCGTTTCGCTGCCCGAACATAAATCTTCGATCCCGATACTAAGGTTTCTGCTCGTTTTTCTAAGATTCACCTTCTGGAATGTAGACCTATTCCCGCTCCTCTGACGTCTCGATCGTAAAACCGGGTTCTCCCCTATGGGGCGACGTGGTTTAATTCCTCGCATAAGCGGGACCACGTTAAGGGTCCTCGGGGGATATAGAGATCTGGGCATATACAAATTTTTAGATGTGCAGATCGATTAGATACGGTAGCTAGGGATTCAAAGATGTAGGGAAAGGAAAGGGGTTGGTTCCATAAGTCTGGGAATATGATTTCGGTGAAATTAGTTCAGCAAAAGCAGGTATATTAAACGTAATCAATGATGTTTAGATGTGCCTCGAGTCAAATGTGCTCGGCGTGCTGGCGGCTCAGCATAGAGACAACCGGGGCCTGTCAAGGGAGGAGGCAGAATTGCAATACATTCGGGAGGCGGTGCTGCTGGAGGCGCCGCTCAACGCTCACCTCTATCGGTTACGAAGAAGCAAGAACGAGGCTGGCCCGGGACGCATACTCCTCGCGATATGTGCTCGCGGAGTGCGAGTTTACGCCGAGGAGGAGACACCGAGGGTTTTTGCCTGGAACAACATCGGCAAACTCTGCTTCGACGTTAGTTTATACCACATACATTCATTTTATCATAAATACCATATACAGGGCCTTTCAAAAATCAGAGCTGATGCTCAAATTGATAATCGTAACTTAACGTTAGTTAGCACTAAACCTACCGGCATATAATGTGTACTTAATTTGAAATTAAAAATGAAGTTAAAAAATAAATAAACAAACAACGAAACATTAATTAGTGCACACATTTATTCTTTATCTTGATGAAAATCAATGCTGATTTCAAGGAATGTACTTTAACAAAATGTGTACTTTATAATAAGAAACTTGTGAAGCGGTCATTTGACCGGTTTGGTAGTTTTAGTGTTAATATGCACTGCATATGTTCATCTTAACATAGAGACCACAGGAATACACAGAGTGTTACAAAAATCAGAACTGATGCTCAAATTGAGGATTGTAACTTAACATTAGTTTCATGTACTGTATATGTTCTCGTTATCATAGAGACCACAGGAATATACAGGACCTTTGAAAAATCAGAGCTGCTGGTCAAGTTGCGAATTTAACTGGAAATTTGATTTGCTTCACAGCGCAAGAAGTTCGAGATACGCGCTGTCGATCAGCCGGACAAGCTCACTCTCTACAGCGGGTGCGATGACAAGAGCAAACTGCTTTTGGGCCTCTGTCGAGACACCCATCAGTTCTCCATGGCCATAGCACCTAGAGTAAACGAGGCAAAGAGACGTGAGGAAGAAGGTGAACATTTTTCTCTGCCTTGGTTTATATTTTCATTTTTCAAATACCAATCAAGAAAATAATATATATGCATCCGGTCGATGTTTCATAATAACTGACATTAGGAGGCACTTCTATATAAACTTCTAGTCTATCAAAATTTCAGTAGTAGTGAATTTATAAAGAACAAATATAACTAATTTTTCATATGGTCTCCGAGATATATCGATACAAAAATCAATCCTCGCGTAAATCCTAAATACTCAGTCTCTCAGTTCTACATCCTTCTGAAGTATCTTTTGATGATCAGCAAACTCGAAAAACTAACTGATTACGGAAAAAATAGCTCACGAGTATTTTAAGTGTACGAGGAACGTTCCGGAAGCGTTAAAATCTAAATTCCGAAGTATCCGTTTGATGTTGAGATCGGTGGTCTGTTTTCAATCGCAGAGAGGAAGGTTCTCCGCGACTGCTACATGTACCCAGCTCGATGCAAGCTGAGTTTAACAGCGCGCGGAGCACGCGGCGACCAACGAATTTCTGTTATCTCGAGCACGTCGTCCAACACAACTTCTGGAATTGTCAGTGACCGGGTTCATAGCGAGGACGAGCCAGACACGGCACCCGCCTCGACCGAGTGTCTTCCACGTCTTACTGAAAATACCTCGCACTCCGGTGTTCAGTGTGGCGTGGTGAACGGCTCCAATGCGGATGTCGAGGACCGTTCTATGCCGTCGTCGCCGGTCTCCACTGTGGATGGTAAATTCAATCAATTAATACCTATTTTAATACATTACATTTAATACATTCCTCCTTCTAAATTACAACTGTATATATACCTCAGCTAGATATTTCTATTCACATAAATATGTATGTATATATGATACATATTCTTCGTATGTAATGTTTCACATATTGTGGCATCATGTGTACTGCCATGTGTATATGCTCTAGTACGACCTATCTGATAATGCTTGTAAATCACAGTCCATTTCCAGTGTTTAAATTTGTAGTTAGTTATCAAATTTACAAAATTAGAAAATGTATAAAGTTAGTAATGCACGAACTTAATAATTGAGTCATATAGTAATGTATTATCAAATTGTCAAACGAAGAAATTTTTAATTTTCCAAGTCGAGAAATTGACTCTTCAACAAAGTCATAAAACACTCCCAGTTACTCTCCCATATTTTGCATACCAATTTATTCTTATATCATACCAGGGTTACCAATTAACCACGGTTACCTAACCATGTACGATGAAATTTCAGTACTGTGTCGTAGAATGCCTGAAGCAATCGTAAAATTTTCAGAAGTCGACGGTACAGATAGCACTCCTACGACGGCTGCATTGCGATTAGCGTCGAGTGCAGCAACGGCTGCCGAGGGGTCACAATGCAGTAGCAGCTGTAGCACGGTCGTGGTCGTGAATGCACCTGCTGGTGGACCGCCACGAATGCGTCGCACCTCGGCAACATCCAGTCTGGAGCTCGGTTACTCGCATACAGCACAGAATTCAGCGGTTTCGTCGGAAACCGCTAGTTTTCCTGGCGCCATTTACGACAGGTGCAAAAAAGGTGGCAAATATGCGGGTGAGTTACAATCGCCTTTCTTTCTTTTTCTCTTCACAAATAAAAAAGAGGAGGCGATTATAGAGGTTGCATTTTCAACAGAACGTATTTTATCCTGATTACAACACCGAACAGGGTCTTTACCTGCGCACCGTTAAGATATCGGTTTATTTCTTTCAATTAAACGAGTTTATATACTCTCTTTTGGTACACTTTTAATAATATGTAAATACTATGTAACGTCGGGGATGCACTTTATCTGTATAATTCCGAAATACGAGGTAGCATTTTGATACCTGAAAAATGGAAAAGAAATTTCAGAGGAACCAGTTGAGCAACTCGCGAAATGAGCATTCCGTTTCTTCGATGCACTGTTGCTTATTCAGATGCAAAGTGCGTCAATAAAATATATACTTTCATAAATGTTAATACAAAGTACGAAAATGATAGCAAAAATACTGGATGTCCTTGATTTCAACTTTTGGCTTTGTTAATTTCATCCGTTGAATTATATACCCAATAATGAAACGTGTGTACATTTTATTGGGATACCATTTGTAGGAGTAAACCAGCTGAAAATAAAACAATCGCATAATTCCGACCAGCCTTTGTCTGGATCGATAACTTTAGACTTTGCAAATTCTGTTCTTTAGGTACTGACATCGCCAGCGAGACCAGTGGAGTGTACACGTTAAGGAGCAGCGAAATGCAGGACGAAAGGATCGGAGATTTATACTCACCCACCGGTGACGCAAACGAGTCATCGGCAGCGAGTGACATGTGTGCCTTAAGTTCCGTCCAGTCGACGACCGACGAAGCATCGGTGACATCCGGTTTCTACACGATCCACAGTGGCCTTAGATCCGAGACGAGCGACGTGTACACGGAGGACGTCGGTACCGAAGACCAAGAACCGATTTACAGTGTCTGTAAAGGTGACGAGGATGTCGCGAACGTGGTGTCCACCATGTCGGCCGTGTCTCTGGATCAACAGCTGGAAGACTCAAGATCCCGAAGCAACAGTATACTCAGTGCTGGAAGCTTCAGGGGTGACGGTAGCGACCCGTCGAGCGTAGGACCATTATTGTCGGCCGACGAGTTGTCGGATTTGATCGTCGGACGATATCCTCCTCGAAAAACTATCAGCAATTCTATGGATTCCGACTGCGATTATGTCACTATGCCTCCACCGCCTCCTCCTCCGAGGACGGACAGCGACCGGCAGCTTCCGCCACCACCTCCGTATCCGGTGAGCATGGACTACGCTACGATAAACTCGTCGCGACCCAAGATACCGGATATTGAGAGGGAACCTCCTCCTCCGCCACCGTACAACGCGACACGAGGAGAGTTCGTTCCCTTGCCGCCGAGGAGAACGGATCCACCACCTCCGCCTCCTTACACGTCGCCGAGAGAAAGAATCCAGATACCACCACCTACGCCGCCCAGAAACGATGCCGTGACACCGAGGGAACCACCTCCTCCACCACCGTATCCTGAAGTATCGGAAGTCACTCGGCAGGAAGCGATTTCGAAGCTGTATCCGACCAGCAGCGAAGAGATCGTGTCGAGGGTGACGTCTACGAAGTTCCAGAGTACCCTGGGAAACAGCAAGACCAACGGCAATCTGACACCCTCGAAGACCAACATCAATGTTGCTACCACCATCGCCAACGATGTTGCTTCGATTGCGCCCAAACCACCTCCCAGAATCCAACCACCCACTTATCCCGGTGACAAAATGAAACCCACGCCGGTTCACGCTCCCGTTGCGGCCCTTGTCGTCGGACCGAATAATTATTTGGACGTGCACGCCTCGCGAGGTGGTCCGGTTCTGTTGCCTTACCTGACACCACCACCTCCTCCTCCACCCCCTCCGCCACCCATGATTCACCCTAGACAACCTCCGCCGCCTCCACCCAGCCTGGCTACCGTTTACACGAGTCAAGTTGCCAGGTCGCAGATCGAACAGTATAAGCAACAACTGTATTCGGACGTCGACTACGTGATGTTCCCTCTGAAAGATCCTGCCGTGTCGAAGCAGGAGTACATAGACGCCAAACAAGGATCTCTCCTGGCGGCCATGGCTGCTTATCCACCACCGCCTTATCCCTCGTTCAACAATAAATCATTAGTGATGTATCGTAGCACGCCGTACCTTCCCGGTTCCTCCTTCTCGTCACCCTCTAAATACGCTTCCAATCAGAACCTTAGCAGCAGCGATACTAGCTCTAACAATTATTTGCCGCATAGTAATCTGAGCAGCCACTACGCTGCCAGCACGAGTTCGCTGTACAGCGGGGCTACCTGCTCGTCCGCAGGAAGTCAAAGTCTTAGACGCGAACCACCAGCGCCCGCTCATCCTCATACGCTACACGCGTTCTCGAGGACGAGAAGCGACGAGAACATCCTGAAGTGTTTCGAATCGCCTTCCAGCATCAAGCTGCAGTCACTGCCGCAACTCAAGCACCGCAGGCTTCCACCACCTCCCCCGCCTCCTCCTTATGAAATACAGGTAGGATTTGCGTGTTGTCTGTTTTTACGTACCTAGGTACTCATTTCTATGATTGCTCTGAGAATTTTTTGTATTCTTTCGACGGTATATGGTGAAAGCTTGTGAGAAGTAGGAGAGAGGAAAGAGAAAAGTAATAGAAAGGAGTATCTCTATTTGCTTTCAGTTTTGAAAGAACCCAGAGAATATATGAATCTACACATTTTTGTACATGAAAGTAAAAGTTGAAAGCTAGGAATGAGAATAATTGACTGCTCTTGTAAAATACACTGCTAGAATATTATCTGAAATATCTAAATATTATTGTTTCAGAATCTTGAAAAGAATCAACCACTTCCGTCCGCTTCTTCGTCGTCCTCTTCGCCGAACAAGTCATCGAGGACGATCGTAACGGAGGAACGCGAAGAAGGAAAAGAAGATGGAATGTTAGACATACGAACGCTTCGCGAAAAGAGTCGCAACTTAGACTTGCCATTGATATCCGCGTTGTGCAACGATCGATACCTACTGAAGCAAACGAAAGCGTTCGTTATGCCAAAGCATCCGACTGAGGCGACGTCTTCGACGTCCACGAAGAACGGCACGAGAAGCAGCAACGGCGGAACTTCCAGCAGAAACAAGTATCCGGTGAGTGGTCTGTCGACCACGCAAATCACAAAACCTCCCAGGAAATCTTCAACGAGTACTCACAAACACCCTGCAGAGGTCAAAGGCAACGCTTACAAAGTCACGAATTCGACGGGCGTGTCCCCGGTGAAAAAGGACCCGACGAGAGCGTCGCATTCATAAGATGAAATCGAGAAAGGGGAAGGAGCTTTGCCGATCTTGTAACATTACAGAAATTCTATACCTCCATAAAGGTACATTCCATAACGCCGTGAAAGATTTGATAAGTTTTCAAATGGTAAACAACGGCTGATCAAAGATCCTGACGATAAGTACTTAAAGTTTCATAGACCGTGCTTCTTCAACTCAGGGTGCCATTTTATCGTGTACGATTCTTCTGCTCGTCGCGGATACTCGAGACGCGAGGTCTGTCAGAGAAGCAATGACAATGTAGAAACTACTAATCAACTGCATTCTTTAGAAAACAGTATAGTATTCACACGAGATGGTTTGTGGAATATTACAGGAACAGAGTCTTTTTTGCAGATTTCCAAATTTACAAGTTCTAATTTTCTTATACAGTGTTACCAGCTTCCTTTCGTTAAATTCGTGCCACTACTTTTTTGACAGACCTCGTATACAGTAATAGCTAGATTACATTTCGTTTAAACGCAAATCATTAAACATAGTGAAACCTTCATGAAGCTTGAAGGAGTTCCGAAGGTGTCTGTTATATTCCCTTCTTCTTTGATTTCATTTTTATGTATATTATGATCTCTCCGATATCGTTGAAAATTGTACTTTTCTTCCCTTAACGAACGAAAGCTTATCGTACATACGTAGAATAATATAGAAACATACACACCAAGACAATAAAATGTCCATTAACATTATTTTTGCTCAAATAAGCTGTTAGCGCGATGAAAGAAAACATTGAATGCGATCGTTGTAAAATCCTAATGGCGTAAAAGACGCTCTTGTACGTACTTACATAGTTAACTAACAAGAGCGACGATATTTTTCTTAGGTACTAATCACTCAGATATTTTTATACTCTGAACGAAGACAGGTATGATTAATGTAACTAGAGAAATAGTACCTTCATTTTTTTTGTATGTGTCTACGAAAGTAATATTTATTACCATCCAGATGATTCTTGTCTTTGTTATTATTATTATTATTTCTTTTTTTTAAATAACTCAATCAATGCTCGCTTTATGATACTTCTATCGAAGCGTTTTTTAAGTACATTTGTGTGTACGTAACTGTAAGTGTAGTTTCTTCTTTTTGGTTAGAAGAAATTAACCTTTCTTCGGATGATGGCGTCTGCAGAGGCTACCCATATTTTTTATATAACTTTACGTAATCATCTGAAAATTTATGTGATCAAGTTCTTGAACGTTTTCGTATAAATTCATTCGTATTTATGAATTTAGCAAAGTGATAATTAGGTGAAATAATGGCTGTACGAAACCATCTGTTCGAAGAAGAGTTAACTGTGCATGCGTGAAAAATTGTCTTTCTTTAGCGACTGAAGGTATGTTACAATGATGTGCAAGTCAAATCTGTGATGAGGTGTAATTCAAAAATTTTCAAACATTCATAACTTTCAAATTTCAAAATTTAATAATTTCTATGACCTCTCCTCTTCAAAATTTGTCACTTGATCGGCTCATCATTGTAACGATCAAGACAACACGAAGATAAATCATTACTCTTGACTGCACTACAGAACACGTACCGAAAGAAAACAACGCGAAACATTTGCAAGAGTCTCGTGTTTAGCGTCGATCTTTCGAACATTAATCACAGATAATAGATGTAAGGGGTAATAATTTAGCCGTAACGTTGACTTATGTTAATTAATGGTAGATATTAATATTACAACATGACCCATTGTCTGTACATAGTATCTGCGTGAAATTATAGGACTTGTTGTAGTCGGAAACCTCATGTATGTACCACGCGCCACCTCAGCTACGAATAATAAACTCTTTTTTTTATAATGAACATCGTTTTCGATAATCATGTTTCAGGAGTCAAATCGAGTGCTACACTGTCCACGTCATCTAGTTTCCCTGTGTTAAATTATAAATGAAAGAGAATTTTAGGTGGCTGTCGGTGTAGCACAGCCATTTTTCAGACGTTCGTGAATTCACCGCTAGAGCTTTTCATTGTTTTACAAATGTGGACACAATTTTCAAATTGTGAAAATTATATTTTAGAGACTACCTCTTGGGGGATTAGCAAATATTTCAATTTCTAAATTGTTAACTTTCCAAGCCGCAAAATTTTCTGAAATTTTCAAATGTTCAATTCTTTAAATTTTGCAAAGGTGTGTTGGTCGTTTATTAGGATTTCTGGTCCACTAGACAAAAATGTTAACTGCGTTCTTACCCTTATACAAAAATCTATACATACAAGATTGTACATACTGGTGCCCACGGATGGCGCTGACGGCTCACTTCTGCAGTATGTGACTTTCGTGCACATTCTCCAGTTAACATGTAACTTCGTTGCCTTGAGATCAAACAAAGAAACCTGACTGAAAGCAAGTGTGACTCGAAAAGCCGAGAGAACCCCATTCGTTCAAATTCGAAGAAGACAAATTCGCCTCAAGTTGATCGGTGCATTGATACACCCTGGGAGCCAAATGAGCTAATATTTGAAACGATAACAATAAAGTAAACGTATTACATTGATCAATACCGTACGGCGGTCAACGTACGCGCAACGTACCGTCTACAACCCTCAAGTTGGCGTGCGGGAAGGTCCCAGACGAAAGGGGAACCACTCGGTCATCTACCACTACCTCGAGCAGTCCCAACGTGACGTTCTGACGTTCGCGGTGACCACACAAGACGTTCGTTGTTTTCCTTCTTCTTTGATTCAATCGTGCGCGATCGTTGAAGCCAATCGTTCTTACCGCCGAAAATACGTGAGTCTAGGCGTGCGTTTACTGATCTGACCAATTGGAGTCGTATCCCTTCCACGTTTCGGTCATATGCCAAGTTGAGGGTTGTCGACTGTAGTGTATATAAACGTTTATCCCTTTTACTCGTTCTTCAGTTGGCAAAACGCTGTTGCATGGTGCGAGTACGCGGAAAATTTGGATGCCAAAGTGTTTCGGAACTACGGAGACTTTGTAGCAGCAGCGAAAATCAATTTTTTGTAAGAACTCTTGTTTCAGTTACATTTTTATCGCACACTAATCACACCGATGTGTAGGAAAGGTGAAAGCCTATAGCTGCGTTTGCAATCGAGCAATTTGTGTTCTGTGTAATTTATTGACACTTTGGTGTTGCTTGTCTCGTGTAGTATATTGCAAGTTCTTTTGATTTTGAATAGATAAAACTAGTAATGATGAGAGGAAAATTGAAACGCGATAAAAAGATTCTGATTAATTTACAAATACGCTATCTCTGTATAGATGAATTAACTTTCTGGGTCAGAGTATTTGTTGTCCTATAAATTAAAAGTTGGTCATCGTGCAAAATTCGCAGAAATCTCTGTTTCGACATAGAAAGGAATTTTATAGAAAAGTTATGATTGTATAAAACACGCAACTGTCAAAGTGTTAAAGTTATCAGTAGCATGAATTGATGCCAATGTACAGATAATGTACTGTTTATACTGTGATTTTATCGTTGGTATTTGGTTACAGAAATTCGGTACATCAATAATTTCGTGTCAATACTCTCTTAACCTCTTTAATTTGTAGAACGTGATTTATCAGAACGTGGTTCGTATAACAACGAACATTTGTCATTACAATTTTATAACCCGTGTTGGAAAATACAAATAGTTACAAGCCTTTTGAATCATTTTGTGATTGTACGAGCAACTTTTCTAACAAAGAACATTTTTCCTGCTAGTTTCAGATCTTTGTTACATAAGGTGAGTCATGAGAAACAGAACACCTAAATATCCATTGCGTGAATTGTTCATAGAATATTTTTATAGCTAAAGCAGTTAAAATAAAATATTGTAAAAGTAGGAAGTAAATGACACTTCTGTCGTTGTGGAATTATGGTAATAAACCATTCATACGTGGAAATATGAATAAAGCTCATTCGCAAACGTTATCTAGACTCTATGGCGCCATAACGCGGGTAACGATTTTTCACAGGCGGCGTTCAACAGAAATTTCAAGGTCAATATCTTTTTAGCTTGATGACTAGTGAAAGCGACCACGTGTAGAATTCTAATTACTTAGCGAATTCACAGCTATTTTATGGAAAAGTACTATTATGGCATCACATAACTTTTGCGAATGAAATTTATTATTTTAATGAATGTTAAAATGTTTTGTTTCTTGCGACTCACCCTGTATATCGATAGAACTATATTTGTCTTGTGCAGAGATCGTATTACCGACAAATAAAAATTTCCACAGAACAAAGCGAGCCAATTCAACTCATTTAACATCCATTTATCGTGCGACAATTGCTAGTGTCAAACTTGATAATTAATTGACTATCTCGCAACAAAGTGTAGCGCTGTAAACAATTACGAAATGGTAATCAATGTGCCAGTAAAAGCATTATGAATTATTATTTTGAACTTTAATGAAGACTCTCTCAAGTTGTACTATTCTTTGTGAAATTCGTAACTTTTATTTTAAATTTCAAATTTTTTTCCATATTACTTGAAAGTACTAAAGTGAACAAACATGGACAGGGGCAAAAAAGCATTAAAGGACTACATAAAAATATATTTTTGATTCTTCTTTTCTGCTATAATAATCCATACTTGAATTATTTACATAATAGAAAAAAAAAGAGAAACAAGAATGATCCATTGACTTGATCAAATTTTATCAAGAATAATAAACAGACAAATTAATACACATGTAAGAGTAATTTTATGGCGTAACAGAAATGAATCTTTCCGAGATGTATCATAATATCTCGGAAGGCAGCGAGGGCACTCACCGTCCTCGTTTAGTCCGCTACTGAACATGGATTTAAATGTATTCAAGGATATGATTAGAATGTTAAAGCAAAAAAATCGCTATCTAGAAACATCGGAAACATTTGAAGGTTATTCAACTTACGTGTAGAATATCTATCATTCAGACTGTGTACGCATAGATCTTAATCTTTTAAAATCGTATAATCGCGTGTTCACTGATTCAAAATTGGGACTCAATTATAATTGTAAATGAATATATAGGGTGTCATTTGTCATATTTATGCATGTTATAACGCAAATTATCTTCAATAAAATTCCTGTGACTTTATTGACTGTTGTAAAACAATCAGGTAATCGATTCTTTTGTATTTCAAAGGGGTTACTGTTTGACGACTGATATGCTTCGTGATATGTGACCGGTACTTGTTTGCGATTAGCGACGGGTGACTGTAGACACTTTGGTTGAAGGAAATTACCTTCACCTACAATGTCTGACGAGTTAGTAGACATCAGAGAAATTTTAGGCTAATAAATTTTGTCAAAATCTGGGGATCCTAGGAAAATTCAAATGAGAATTTATGGAGATACTAGAAACTTAGAGAGAAAGCTTAAGATCCTAAGAGAAATATCGGGAGGTTCTGCAGATATTTATGGAGACTTTAAGTACCTATGGAAAGTTTGGAGTAATTCTAGAAGCTCACAGATATTTTACAAAGAATCTAAGATGATCCTAAGCAAAATCTAAACTAAAATCGATTCATACACATGATACGAAATTGTCATATATTTACACTCAACATTTACAATGTTTCATCAATACTATAACTATTTTTTTGCATATCGAATGGTAGCTTTCAATGCACATCTATGACACGATTTAACAACACAAAAGTATAAAATATAAATTTCAAATAAAATACTCCCGATCAATTTTCTGTAAAATTTACTTTTGAACTCCGAAGTGAAAACATTCTAGAGACTCCGCGTTCAGATTAGATCAAGGCCCGCAATAAAGAAACGTATCCGAAGCAAGTTTTCATAATCTGTTACAAACGATAATCGATGATATTACTTTCTCGTCTGTTGAACAAGATTTACTCACCTGAATAAAACCGAACAGCGAGAACGAGTAAAACTTTCCGGCCTTAAGATTCAGCGTTTTGCGTCCATTGCACATGCAGTATAGCAACAATTTCTGGTCGTAGATCGATAGTTTCAGCCAGTTAGCGTCGTAGTACGCGTCGTTCACTTTTTTGGACTAAACAGAAATATATTGATACTTTTATTGGCGTAGTTTAGACGAGAGGACTTACCTCGATCTGTAATCGTTCACCTATGTATGAGTACAGATACAGCATCAAGGTGACTATCGTGACATACAAACCGTACGTGAATATATCCACTACATCGTCACTCTACAAACGAAAGTATAAATTCACTAATCCGTACTGAAAAATTTGGAATTTTTTTATATACATTGCCACTGTAATTATTTGAGTAGTTCAATGGTGGCGAACTTTTTGAGGGTAAATGTTAGACAATGTAACACTGCATTCATTATTACAGCTGTTCTTTTTTATTAAAGATCTTCTCAAGATTGTAAATCATACCTTTCTGAACTACAACGATTTTTATTACCGGGTTTACAGAGATTCCAATGTAACTTAAAAACAACGATATAATAAAGTACAAATATTTATTATGTTGATGATTATAATAAAAAATGAAGGAAAAATGAATTGTTACAGAATAGTGTCGTTACAAATCTTGATACAAACAAAGTATTAATAAAATTTGTGCTATCTTCATCTTCTAGAATTGAAATCGATTTTACCAAATCTTCGGGCAGTTAGTAACAGCTTATCTACTGTAATTATATCTCTGGTGCGCTGCAAACTTGTATCGGTTACTTAATTCTTATCTGAAACAAAATCTTACTTGCACATACTGTAACAATAAAGAAAGTTGAATAATCTGTAATCGTATAAGGAAATACCACCTGTAGTGTACATCATTGAGGTGCCAAATTTTGTGCACGTCATAGGTTCGCCACCATTGCTCTAACTGACATCAAGCCCTTTAAGTTCTTTGAAAGTTTTTAATTTGAGAAAGCGTTAGTTAATTGTTGTGGACGTACCAGCAGAATCGTGTACATCAAGACGGCCATTCTGATGCTTGTTTGTATGAGTTCCATCGCGAGTATGTATTGCAGCGCTGAGTTTAGGGTGTTTGCGGTCCTATAAGCAATAAGTGCAAGATATGTGGAATAAATTCGAAAATCACTATTAGACTCTTGGAGCACTATTGTACGTGGTATTCTTTTTCAGTTATTTTAATGTAACATATTATATATTTGATACATCTGACTGGTTTAAAATTTTTTTATTATAAATTACAATATTATATATTTTGGTAAAATACATTTATTGAAGTATATGCATTTTGATTGTCGAGATGAGAAGTAATGTGCAAATGCACTGTGAAATCTTGACTTCTGTATTGCTTCGAGATTAAGAAAAGATCAGACAAGTTTTTTTGCATAAATATTTATGTACTCAGGGTATGTCAAAATTTGGAGATTTGCAAAATATAAATTTTTTGCAAATAACAGATTTTAACCGACTCGACTGCTTTATTCTATTACATAAATTTTTATATGATTCATACCGAAGTAAGAGAGTACTCACATTATTAACTCCACGTGTCTTTCCACCAACTCCTTAACTCTCCGCTGAAAAGAGTTCTTCGAATCCTCCGCGATATTTTGTATGCGATACGACAGAATCGAAAATTTACCACACACGTGTAACACCAAGCTTAGCAGCAGACTAATGCTGCTTATATGCAACAATGCTATAAACATCAGAGGCATTTGGTACGCGTACATCAGCATGTAGTTCTTCAAGTTATCCTCGTAATCGAGAAAAGAATGAACTCGAAACGGTAACCGGTACATCGTTGAATTATCGTTTCCTGCAAACAAGGATTGATTAATGCACACCTATACACACTCTTGTAGATTTATCGAGCAATATCTAACTGCGCCACATTTCAAAAAATACCTGAGCCTTGCAACAATTCTAACATGGGAGTAATGTACCACATCACCGCTATAACTGCGGTGGTTCTCACTGCATATTTGCCGAAATTGTCAGAGATGATATTATAAGACAGATACAGTTGTTTCTCGTCGTTGTTTCGAAAATCATTCTCCGCGAGCTCTCGTTTCACCATAGCGACCACGTTCTTGATCAACTTGCTGAATCGAAATAGAAACAGCATCAAATATGTAGTCGTGGCGATCGTGTTGTCTATAATGTTCTCCACCATGAGTTCTAAGTCGCCCATCACGTCGTACAGGTCCATGTACATGATCACCATGTGAACTGAGAGATAGGACATGTACATCACGAACTTCTTGTAGGAATTGTTCAATGGCCAGGCGTCGCATATCCAGAAGACACGCTCGTTCAGAATGAGCACGTCCTTTATTTGAGTCTCTTGATCCTGGAATATGCGTTATTCTATGCAAACTTGCGTAGCTATAGTTAGGTTAGGTTCAGTATCACAGGGTGGTAATAATAGTTATCACGAGATGGTTATAAGGTGGTAATTTAGAATCTTAAGAAACGACAGGAGATATAATATTTAGGACTGCGTTCGTAATTTTTTGTTACATCATATCAATATCGTGTGATCAGTTGCTTACGATCGCCAATTTTTAATCACTCAATTTCTTTACCATTAATTTTTAAATATTTAAAGACATAGTAATATTACATGAAAGTTACACAAAATATCACTCGAGTCTTTTAAATTTGAAACGTGGAGAAAATGCAGAAACGTTAATATTGTTAATGTGTATCCATGTTTCGAAGTTCGGGAAGGCTGACAAGATTTCTTCATTTAAAACTATTACGAAGTAACACTTATTATCTGTTAGCTTAAAGTCTAAAGAGTTGTACGATTAATATTTTCCTCAGAAAAGAGATTGCACAACTCAAACCTTTAACACCACGAAGAAGAATAAAATGTATCATGACTATTAGACGACATTTCCTATATTATCAGTAGCAACTTAAAATACGATATTTCACATAAGTTCTGACTAGATTATTTGACTGAAATATAATTTGCCACACAGTTGTAGTCATGGTATAGAAAGTAAATCGTAATGAGCATCAAATAATGTCAGCAGGACTATATTCCCAAATTTCAAAACTTTATAATAAACTCTGATAGTTGCTGTCAATCTTAATATAATTAAAAAATAGCATTATAAAATATGTGATCTCACAGAACGTCTTGCATCACAAGAAAAACGAAATCACCGTAACATTATGAAATTTTACAAGTCTAGCAGCTTCGAATTGATTTAAATCTTACCCTCATCACGACTCAGGATGGAATCACGGTCGGTCGCCGGTGATTTTCCGCAGGCCGTATTTTATACGCAAAATCGATAAAATTATAATCGCTTTCGAAACTTCTCGCGCATCCATGATGCATATTGCCCAGCAATTTTCTCCAATTACCGCTCTATAACTTCGGCTAAGTTTCCATTCGCAATCATCGCGAATAATAAGTGCTTTTGGAAATTCAAATCATTTTCTTGCGATTTGATCGTCGAATTAATGACAGAATTTTAAACGCTGAAATCACTCGCATGGAGCGTAGCGAAGCAATCAACGGTGGTTTTCCGATACTTTATAGTTTGAGGAAAACGAGGAGAGAACAGTGGTTGATGTAAAATATTTATTGGGAGAGATAAAGTTCTCTGGAAGACCTGGCGCGGTGGAATAGCGTGTTCATTCTTTGATGGATTGAGCGACGTAGTGCAAGTGATTGTGATCGAATCGTTTGCAAACGAGTTTAACCTTTCGCTAGAATGTGCACGGTGCTTGTGATGACGTTGCGTAAAATTAACAGTTCGCAAGAAAATGAGAGTTGTGCAAATTATCAACTGCTGATGCGTAGAAATGTGAAAATGAAATTAGTTTGGAACATTGAGAATGTCAAACTTCGGAATGTCAAATTGAAGCATTGGAATTTAGATACCTCGTCAAATTGAAGCATTGGAATTTAGATATCTCAACTCCTAAGAATTGCAAGTGCAAGAATGAATTCAACAAACACTTCTCCCATATTAAACTTATTATTTCTACATACTAACATAGATACAACACGTGCATACAATACATCAATTCGTATAATAAAACGCACTTTTTATATACATATATTTATATCCAGCATTAACAATCTTTACACTAGATTTCAATGTACATATACAAACATTGACACGTTTCTACAATATGAAATATACAATATCATTCATAGAACATAAACTCCAGGTACATACAAATGCATATGTTAACCGAGTTCGAATGAACAACGTCCTTCCGTATTCCTGATGATACTTCGAGCTGCAAGTAGCATTCGGAGATCAAATCAAGGCACGTAACAGAGAAACAAATCCGAAGCAAGTTTTCATAATCTGTTCGACAAAGTTGGTAATATTATTTTTTTAGTTATTGCGGTGAAGGAGATTTACTCACACTGATAAAACCGAATAGGGAGAACACGTAAAATTTGCCGGCTGTAAGACTCAGTGTTATGCGTCCATTACCCATGCAATATAGCAGCAATTTTTGGTCGTGGGTGGACATCTTCAGCCAGTTGACTTCGTAGTATGCGTCGTTCACTCTTGTGGACTGAAAATGGATTTATCATTGATATAATATTAACACAGCATTGTTATAGCATTGATATAGTTTGTTATTACTATATCTGCAATTGTTAGATGATACTTACCTCATACTGTAACTGTTCACCTAGGTATGAGTACAGATACAGCATGCAGGTGACTAACATGACGTATAGACCGTAAGTAAGAAATTCCACAACTTGGTCATCCTAGAAATTAAATAAATTAATTCCATACAGGAAAAATTTTAATTCTGTATACTTGTGGATTTCAGTGTGGTTACAGTCTGTATACCAATGGTGGTGAACTTGCTTAACCCCTTCTCGTGTTTTGACGAGTCTCACTCGTGACGCACTCACAACTCAGATGTGATTAATATTACTCAAATTTTGAATACTCTTCAACTTGAATTTTAGATCCAACTATAATTTGCATTGTCAAGGATCCCTGAATATAAAATACTTAGAACATTTTAATTTTCTTTGTTCGTTTTAATGTTATAGTCCTGAATGGTTAGTCTTGACTGACGCACCTCATAAATAAATGGCACGGCAAGGGGTTAAGACGTACTGATAATTGTTGCTGTGATATTTCTTTTTTCATAATAGTTATTGTGACAGTTTCGTTGTAGGAAATATTCAAAAGTCAAAAATAATTTTGGAAACAACGTACTATTTTTCCTTGGCAAAAAATTATAGACGTAGCAATGAAATTATGTATACATATGATACGCATGATATGATGCATATGTTATGACATATATGTCATACGTTCACCGCCATTGCTATAATCGCCATAATTTGACAGCTAGTATTTTTAGTTCTAGATGTGTTTTAGTTTAAAAAAGAATAATTGAAGTACCCGTAGCATAAGTATGGTGTACAAGACTACAGCCAGTCTGATACTTGTTTGTAGAAGTTCCAGCGCGAGGATGAATTGCAGCGCTGAGTTGATAGTATTTGCTACCCTAAACAACAAATGTATAATGAATTAAAAAATATTAGTAGACGCTATTTGCTTGTAGTCATTTCACTAAACAACCAAATTGGTCAAATGACTTGCTTGCAAGATACATCAAGTTTAATTAAATTAATTCTCCAAAAACATTGTCCACCCCAGATATCATTTGACTGATTAAAGTGTGAATGTAGAATACTCACGCTATCAATTCTACATGTCTCTCCACCAGTTCCTTAACTTTCAGTTGTAAAGGCTGTTCCGAATCATTTTTTCCGATGTTCCGTATACGATACGACAAAATCGAAAATTTCCCACACACGTGTAATACCAAATTCAGTATCAGAATAATAGTACTCAGATGGAACACTCCTGTAGGCATCAGAGGTATTTGATACATGTACATCAGTATATAGTTTCGTAAATTGTCTTCGTAATCTAGAAAAGTACGTGCTCGTATCGGTATTTGGTAATTCTTTGAACTATTGGCATCTCCTGCGAACAAGAATAATTTTTAATTTAATCATATTTCTATACTAGCAAGTTATTGTATTACACAAAAAATTGAAATTTAGCTTTTCTATATTAGTCACATTCTTTTTAAAAATCTATAGTTCTGTTATAAATCTTCTGTTATCCTTCTGTTATAATCTTTCTGTGACAATTATACTTTTTACCACATTCTAGCACATACTTGCTTAAAAAATACCTGAGCCCGAATTCAACAGTACCACCAGAGGACTACTATACCACAATACCACTAGAACACAGATGAACCTCACTGTGTATTTGCCAAAATTGTAAGAGATCATATTGTAATGCAGGTATAATTCTCTCTCCTCCATGTTCCGAAAGTCATCCTCCCCGATCTCGCGTTTCACAATGGCGACCGCGTTCTTAATCAACTTGCTAAATCGTAGTAGAATCAACATCAGGTACGTTGTTGTAAAGATCGTGTTGTCTACTATGTTATCCACCATGAGTTGCAAATTGCCCACCACGTCGTACAGGTCCAGGTTCATGAGCACCAAGTGAATCGAGAAGTAGCACATGTACATCACGAATTTCTTGTACGAATTGTTCAGAGGCCAGGCGTCGCATAGCCAGAAGACGCGTTCGTTTATTATGAGCGGGTCTTTTACTTGGGTTTGCTTGCGCTGGAAGTATGCGTTATTCAATTGAAATATAGTTGTACAGTTATAGTTAAATATAGTTATAGTATTTGTTATGGTACAGGCAAGTGGTGAGATATTTCGGACATCCTCGTAAAATGTTAGGGTATTCAGAATTCATTCGAGGTTTTCTGGTACAGTATGTTTATATCGATATATTAAATTTCCGTCACACATTCAACACACGCTCAATGTCACATTTCTTAATTTCAAGTTCTAACACTTTGACTATTAATTTTAAAATGATTATGAAAGGTGTATCACGATTAGGACACAGAGAACCATCGCACAATAATGCACAGACATTATCAGTTTTGAAGCTGGGATTGTCGAAGGAATTCGGAAAGTCAAATGTAATTTCAACACATGTGATTATGTCAAAATACCATGTATGGTAATATTGTTAAAGTAGAAATCCTGCATCATATATTGTACATTAAACGCAAGACCAAGGAACTACAGAAAACCTCGAACACCACAAAAAAGAACAAAGCTACCCTAAAGTCCATTCATATCTTTACTATTTTTCAAAAGTAACTAATAAGTATAAACTAAATGAACTTACTTTAATAAATGAACTCACATTATTTCACGTAAATAAAAGAGCTTCAAATATGGTCACATATAATTGCATCTTACCTTCATCGCGACCGTCGGTGAAATCACCATCCCTTTTCGGTAGGGCGCGTTTCACCCGCGAAATCGATAAAATGATAATCGCAGTTGAAACTTCTTGCCCGTCCATAGCGCGCCTTTCTCAGCAATTTCCTATAATTATTACTGTACCCGTACATTAGAAAATTTTACGTCCGCTGTACTTGTAATAATTGTACAATTACTGTTACAAGTTCAGTGACCAAATGATCTCTTCTTACGTTTTTTCTTACCCTAATGAATGTCTGATTGACATGTACGAAGAAACTTTGTTGCCACAATCACTCTAACCCCGACGAGTTTACTTCATTGTTGAAATAATTACTGCTGATCCCTCGATGGGTCGGTTCACTGAAGATGAGCGGAGTTAATTCACTCTGAGTGAAGAAGTCGTGGAGTTCTAGAAGAGCATCGATGAACGATGTGGCTACCCGATGTGTTTAACGCAGTGTGTATCGAAATATAGACTAGATTTGATTTGGATTTGAGGTGCAATATTGTGTGAATTGCTTTCAGAGTTTCGACAGTTACAGTGTCTTTACAGTATACTTCAATGTACATACAAATATTGACACATTTTTACAATCCGAAAGTAATATACAATATCATTCACAGAACACAAGCTTGAAATTCACGAGGACTTCGGCTAATGTCTTTTGATGACACTTCAAGCTGTAAGAGGCAGTCAGACCACGGCTCGCAATAAGGAAACAAATCCGAAGCAAGATTTCATAATCTGTCCGAACAAATAAAAATCGGTAATATTACTTCTCTATTTGTTTACGAGATTTACTCACTTTGATAAAACCGAACAGCGAGAACGAGTAGAATTTTCCTGCAGTAAGACTCAGTGTTCTACGTCCATTGCACATGCAATACAGTAGCAATTTCTGGTCGCGTGTCGACAGTTTCAGCCAGTTAACGTTGTAGTACGCGTCGTTTACTTTTATGGACTGAACAGAAATTTATTCGTACTTTTATTTACGTGGTTTGAGGGGAAGAACTTACCTCTGTCTGTAATTGTTCACCTATAAACGAGTACAGGTATAACATAGAGGTGACTATCATGACGTATAGGCTGTATGTGAACATTTCCATGACTTCGTCATCCTGGAAAGAAAATATATGAACAAATCGATATGGGAAAAATAAAAATTCATTCTATCAGATAATAAGTTAAATCTATGTAGGAAAGATTGAAATTTTGTGTACTCATGCATTTCAATGTGATTGTAGTTACATGACGGTGAACATACTTAAGTATATATGTGTACTTGAACATACTTGATTATACTGATTGTGGCCACAGTAAGATTTATTGATTATGGTAATGGCATCATGATAAATATTCATGATTCTAGATTAAATTGAGCAGAGTTAAAATTTTTGAAAGACCGTATTATTTTTTGTAACAGAAGTGTGAAAATTATGGACGTGGTAAAATAATTGTGTCTGTCGTACGTTCGCCATCATTGCTGCAGTTACCAGTGTCTTAATTTTCTCGCATGTGTTCAGAAAGGAATAATTGAAGTATACCTCTAGCATAAGTATCGTGTATAACAATACAGCCATTCTGATACTTGTTTGCAAAAGTTCCAGCGCGAGGATGAATTGCAACGCTGCATTGATAGTATTCGCCACCCTATAAGTAACAAATACACTGAAGAATGAATTAAGAATGAATTTACAATGAAGTACGAAATAGGTATAATTACACCTTGCTTTTTTATACAATTAGAAAATTACATTCATACATTTGTATTAATATAATGACAAATGTATAATTACTCACGATATTAGTTCCACGTGTCTTTCCACTAACTCCTTAACTTTTCGTTGGAAAGAGTCTTGAGAGTCCTCTACGACGTTTTGTATACGATACGATAAAATCGCAAACTTAGCACACACGTGTAATACCAAGTTAAGTAGCAGACTTATACTACTTATATGAAATATCCCTGTTCCCATCACTGGCCACTCGTACACGTACATCAGAATATAGTTTCCTAAACTGTCGCAATTCAGAAATGGTCGAATTCGTATTGGCATTTCGCAAATATTTGTGGTATTACCATCTCCTGTGAACAAGAATAATGTCTTCATTATGGTTAGTTTTCATTAATGGTTCTTAAGTGAAACAAATTTCTGTATTAGGCTGTTGTCGTATCACACAAAAAATTGAAATTTAGCTCCTCTATTTAGGTACATTATCATTAAGGTTTTAAAATTATTTTCGAGCTGTAATTTTTATTTATTACTCGGCTAGGTAACTTCTCTGGTTTTATGTGTGTTGAGTCAAAAGACGTTAGTGCAAGATATTGTAGTATGATATGTTATTTTATAGTATTCATATGTATTTATGAAATAACATATATAGTTACAATTTCTTGCGAACATATGAACATGTGAGGAACATATAAACGTTCACTGTATGTGAAAAATAAGGTATTTCTCTTTATCTATTATAATGTAAACTCAATCTGAGAAGACTCCCTTACATAATTATTTTCCAAATTTCTTCCCACAGCTGTACAGTACAAAAACAATCTATATCGTCATATTTTTTACAATACCATATACACATACTTGCTTAAAAAATACCTGAGGCCGATTTCAACAGTTTCAACATAGGCGTACTGTACAACATCACCACTATAACAATCGTCGTTCTCACAGCGTATCTGCCAAAATTGTCACAGATGATATTATAAGACAGATACAGCTGTCTCTCCTCGTTATTTCGAAAATCATCCTCCGCGAGCTCGCGTTTCACCATAGCGACCGCACTCTTAATCAATTTGCTGAATCGTAATAGAAACAGCATTAAATATGTTGTCGTAATGATTGTGTTGTTTATTATGTTCTCCACCATGAGGCCCAAGTCACCCGTCACGTCGTACAGGTCCATGTACATGATCACGATGTGGAAGGAGAGGTAGGACATGTAAATGATGAACTTCTTGTAGGAAGTGCTCAGTGGCCAAGCGTCGCACATCCAAAAGATGCGCTCGTTTAGGACTAGCACGTCTTTTATTTGTATATCCTCGTCCTGAAATATCCTTTGTTTAATGAAGAATCGGTTAACTGTGTTTAATATTGAATTTACAGGAACCATATTTAATATTGAATTCTCAAGAACCATATTTAATATTGAATTGTCAGGAACCATATTTAATATTGAATTGTCAGGAACCATATTTAATATTGAATTATCAGAAACCTTATTTAATATTGAATTATTAAGGACCACATTTAATATTGAATTATTAGGAACCATATTTCATATTGAATTATTAAGGACCACATTTAATATTGAATTGTTAGGAACCATATTTCATATTGAATTGTCAGGAACTACATTTAATATTGAATTGTTAGGAACCATATTTAATATTGAATTGTCAGGAACCACATTTAATATTGAATTGTTAGGAACCATATTTCATATTGAATTATTAAGGACCATATTTAATATTGAATTCTCAAGAACCATATTTAATATTGAATTGTCAGGCACCATATTTAATATTGAATTGTCAGGAACTATATTTAATATTGAATTGTCAGGAACCATATTTAATATTGAATTGTCAGAAACCGTATTCAATAATCACATTTATCAAAATACTGGTTGACGATGATTTAACTTAAACAGTGTCACAAAGTTTCTACATTTAACCATATTTTATATTAAATTTGAGACTTCCTAATCTACTATGTTTGTACATACGAATTTAGTACTTTCTGTTGTGTAAATTCATACATCGTATAAACTCGACGGTTCAAAATTTTCACTCTTAATTTAAAAATAATTATATTACATTCATTTCACGATCACATCACATAAAAGCACCACGAAGTAACACTTAAGGTATATCAAGCTTGAAATAAAAATTAGAAAAGATTGTCCAGATATTTTGTTAATAACGTTAAGATAATCTGAAAAAAGTATGCTGTTACCTTCATCGCAAGCGTCGATGAAATCACTATTCAGTGACATCCGTTTTCGATAGGGTGCGTTCGCTAAGTTGATAAAATAATAATGCTCGAAAGTTCATGCCTGTCCATAGAGCGTTTCTCAGCAATTTCCTGTAATTATTCCTCTCCCCGTATATTAGGCAATTTTACATTCGCAGTACTAAGAAATAATTGCCGTGTCAAGTTCGGTGAGCAAACGCTTTCTTCTGACGTTTTTTCTTACCGCGATCGTCGTCGGATTTACGTGTTCGAGCAAACTTTATTGCTAGAATCATTCGAGCCGACTTTTCTTCTTGTTGAAATAATTAGTGGTGATCTACAGTTTTCAGTTTACTGAAAATGGCTGATGCACTTCATGGGAAACATTAATGTTATGGCTATGTTCGTAAAAGTCCACTGGGTTGCAATGAGGTACATCTCGTTTAAATCGCTTTCAGAGTACAAAATTTTTGAAATGTGTTCACTGTATTTGTGATAGTGTTACAGAACGTTTGTTAACCATTTTCAAGGAAGGAATATTAAGGGTTGTGCAACTTATCGAGTGCTGATTCCGTGTGAGAGGAAAATAAAATTAATTTCGAATATTGAGATTTTGCAGGTTTAGATTATCGGGACTTCAAGATTTTTATAGTATTAGGTTGGGGAATAAGTTCGTGGCGTTTTGACGTTTTCTTTCTTTTACAGAGACATCTTGCAATTTGCAAGAAGTTATAATATTCATTCGATAGAGCTCTTTCTGCTCTACAAAACTGTGTTAATCGTTTTTTTCAG